GAGTGGTGGATATAATGAATACACCTTCGAACCACTATAAATTATTTTATTTTATTTATATTTTGCATGCACCACCACACGTAAATCACTTCATACAAAATCACTACACAAGTTTTAAAATTTCTTTGTGCACAAAATACTGATCATTTTATCAAGTGTTTTTAACTCTATATTGTTAACTCTCTATAAATTATTTTATTTTATTTATATTTTGCATGCACCACCACACGTAAATCACTTCATACAAAATCACTATACAAGTTTTAAAATTTCTTTGTGCACAAAATACTGATCATTTTATCAAGTGTTTTTAACTCTATATTGTTTAGTATATTTCGAATTATTTATAAAAGTGTTACAATATAGTCAAAGATATGTTGTTCAAAACTTTTGATGATACTCTATTTCCAAGGATAGGGAAGTGTAAGACGACAAACGATATCTAGAACGACCTCTTACTGATGGGAGAGGGTGATGAATAAGAGAGAGAATAAGCTGACAATAGTCATGAAGAGGTTCAAAGACTTCTGAATGGTTAATGAGAATCCATAGCCAATATGAAAGGAACTAACACACAAGGAGATTAACTTGAAGGTTCTCTGATGATTGCCCAAGTCATAGAAAATGAAGGTCGTAGCAATGAGAGATAATCGTGATATGAAAGTCATATGAACATCCCAAATCTTTAGTGACTTAAAGACATATGAGTTCGAGACTTCGAGAAGGAAACAAGAAAGAAAGAGGATGAACTGAAGAGTGCTGCTTTGGTTGCAGGCCAATAACTATCCACGTCCTCAAGGTCAAACTCTAACCCTTCTGATTTTGTAACTAATGAACATTTTTTTTTTTTTTTTTTGTTAGGAAATTTGAAAGGTTTCATAGACACAAACAACAATTCTATTCTAGGGTGTGTAGCAATGTGGATAGACCCCAATTTCAAAAAAAATATATATATGCACCTAAAAAGCCCAAAGTTCTTCAAAAGATTAGTATGAATATAATACTTTCAATGGTTACATTCCACCTAGGCTTGGATTGATGGTTTCTAGGTACAAATGGATGCCAAAACTCACTAACCCGCAACGACCCAAGAAGGTATGAGTACCTAAATCAAATTAATTTTTGATTTCAGGAGCACAAGTCTGTTTAGTATGCCGTCGACAGTGGATGTTCGAGACACATGACCGTCGAAAAGTAAAATCTAGTTAACTACCGAACAGTTAATGGTCGGAAGGTTGTATTTGGTGGAAGTGAGGCAAATGTTCAAACCAAAGGTTTAGGAGAAATCACAAATAATGGATTGACAATTAAGGACATGTCTTATGTTGAAGGATTAATGAAGTTTAATATACTAAACGCATGTAAGTTTTGTGATAAGGGCTAAAAAGTTGAATTCTGAAAAGTGGATGTTCCATCTTCAGCGAAAAGTTGAAGGAGATTGTTCTTTCAGCAAGGAGGAGCGAGAACACATATGTAGCGTATTGGAGTTCTACAAAGCCGAATATTTTCCTGGTAGCTAAAGAAAATTTAGACTTAAGTTGGAATGGCATAACAAGTTAAACCATATGAACTTTAAGGCAATCAACAAGCTAGCCAGGGGAGATTTGGTGGAAGGATTACCAAATGTGATTTATAATAAGGATAATATTTGTGAAGTATGTCAAAAAGAGAAAATAAATCAAATCTTCATTTAAGTAAAAATTATGGAATCATCATCTAAACCCTTTGAATCTGCTCCATATGGATTTGTTTGGTCCAGTAGATCTAATAAGTAGGAGTGGGCGTAAATATACCTTAGTGGTAGTAGATGACTACACTAGGACACTTGAATGCTCTTCTTAAAGAAAAAGAATGAAATCGAAAGTTTGTTGCCCTAACTGTTGAAATAGCTGCAGAACAAGAAAAGAACAAGTATAGTAAACAAGGTACTTCTGCATAACCTAAGCCATGAAACGCTCTATTGACGACGCGGTTACTTGACTACTGCAATGATCTCAAGAATGGGTTCGTCTCTAAACTCAACACGAAGATGAAAGACGGTTACAGTGACAATTACTTCTCCAACATCTTGAGAAAAATAGTTGACCAACTCTGGACTTATTACAAGGCTAAATACAACACTAATTAACTAACGTCCTATCCCTAAATTTGTAACACAACTTTGTACGATTATGTTTACCAATAAATTTCCTTAAATATGTAGAAGAACAACAATAAACATGTAAGCAAATTATTATTATTATGGATACAATCTGTTATAGGCCCGGATATCTCAGATCGCGTCATAGACCTGAAACATAAGAATGAAAGTGCTTCTTCTCCCAATCTTTTATATTTAATAGAAAGCCCAAAGTACAAATTTCCAAGATGTCCTTTCTTCAAAGTTCAAATACATAGGCATCTATTTATACAACATTTTTTTATTTGAGTGCTTAATTATGGATACAACATTTATACAGCATAATAAAGCACAGTAGAACAAATTGGGGGGGACAAAGCACTCATGTGATCAATCATTTCGTTTGTATAACAGGGGAAAGAGCTATGGGCTTACACTGGAGAAGCCATATACTTGTTACAACGACAGCTTTTTCGCGAATTTATTATTGGGAGTGATACTGCTGAAGGGTAGAAACAACTTGTTCAATGCTCTGGAATTTGCGTCGTTCTTTAAGAAGCAACTTTGCAACATTCAGAGCCTGCTGCTCACACTTAGCTCGTTTCTCAGCATCGGGAATTGATTCGAAATCTTCCACGTGAGCAATACCGACAATTCTCCTGCAATTCAAGTGGTTTTAGCATCTGTTAAGCAATGACTCGGTGCAAAAGGATTAGTTCCTGTAATAATGCAGGCATCATAATCAACCTTATCATCTTGGCAGCGCCAAATCCGAGGGTGTCGTGGAACAGATCTCTCATGTACTTCTCTCTTACCAGATGCTGAAGCTCAGAATTGTTATATATACCAGGAAGATATGCCTCACCGGGACCATCCTTGTGCTCATCCCAGAGAGCAGTGAATTTTTTGTGAAAGAGGTTCCAAGTATCAGCTATTGTCTTCAAAATCCATGCTTTATATGACTGCTTAAGAAAAGGCTCGTAAATGATGAGTCACGATGCAAAAATGAAATAAGGGCAAAAAGATGCCCCATACCTTGCGGTCATTACCCTGATTTGCATGTCCATCTTGAGCATAGAAAGCCAACATTAAGTTTCCAATAAATGCTCCAACATCAAACCCCATCGGGCCATAAAAACCGAATTCTGGATCTATTACTTGAGTTGACTCGGGAGTAACCATGACAGAACTTGTATGGAGATCACCATGTATAAGAGCTTGGCTTCTTTCACAAAACCTGAAAAGTATACACCAAGACATATACAAAAGCTTCAACTGCTATAGAGCATAACGTTTTAAAAAATTTAGTAGAAAGAAACATATTTCCCAGTTGCAGACATTACTTGGATTTCAGCTCACCAACTTCCAGCTTCAAGACGTTATCACTCCGAACTGCCTCTGCATCAGCATCAAGATAAGGAGTTGTCCAGCGATTATATTGAGACACTTTGTAAGGATCAGAGAAGATAACCTGCTCGGTAAGTCTACACATTTCCACGTTTCCACAAAACTCTGCAACTGCATAGAGGATTTAAATGGCAATAAGAAAGTTTTTCTAGGTAAAAAAACCTACCAATTACTGGAACAAAGAAGGAAACATTGTTAATAAGATTGCAACGAAAAGATGTGAATAAACGGTTTGATAGAAATATGGATAGCTATACACATACCAACTACAAACAAACAAACTTTATGAACATTAAAATTGGTTACCAGCACGTTTGTGGTCTGTGGTAGTAAGATAAAGCAGGGATGTGAAAAAAAGAATCTTAGCCATATAGTCTGACATATGCTCAGCAAGAAATGGATACTCAATCCCCGCAACCAGTCCCTTCCTTAAGATTATATGGGGAGGTTCAATGTAACGCATGCCAATTAAACACATCGTCTTGTCAAAATGGTAAACTTGAGGAGTATGCTCAGGGCATAAGCGGCCATGCTCTTTTAAAACCGTCACTTCAAAATAAGCACGATCCTTTGTCATCGGCCAGGACTCACCAACACACCGCACATATGGAATGGCCTGCAAACGCCACCACCACTCAAACATGATTTTACCAAGAACAAACAATAAAGAAGCATGAGGTTTATCCCATTTTTTGCCAACATTTCTCTACCACCATCAGATTCCATTAAACCATTAATGATTGCCCAAATGTGGATTTGTAATCAGTGACACTCCTATACTCAAATTTTAGAGTCCATCTGATTGGTCTACACTGTCCTAATAAGACACATTCAAGAGAATCCAATTTTATCTAAATAAGTTATTTTCATAATCAGGATTGTAAAGCTGAGATATAAACATCTGAAATTATTCTGAATTTAGAAACTCAATAACTCCAGTAAACATTATCAGAAGGATCTGCCTATTCAATCAAGATGATAAGTTTATCCTCATACATACTAAAATCATGTTTACCTAAGCTATCAATAAGCAGATTTTTCCTTAACAGCAAAAGAATAAAAACCATAAAACATTTATTTGTCATGCAAAGATCACAAGAGGAAGAAATTCTAGGTACCTGTTTGACGACAAGAGAAGCAGATGGAGCGATAACAACATAGACGAAGTTGAGATTCCCATCGCCGACTTCTCTGATATTCAAACTATGGAGCTGATGCGGCTGGTCTCCGGCTAGTACCGAAGCCAGAGAAGGAGTCGCTTTTATGTACTCCACCACCGATTTTTCGTCCAGCGGGCGGAATCCATCGGAAGCCATTCACAGAGTTTGAAGAAGTGTTTCCAGAAGCTATTCACAGATTTTGTGTGAGGCACTTATATGGTAATCTCAGGGTAGCAGGGTTCCATGGCAAAGCAATTAAAGATGCTCTCTGGACAGCAGCTAGAGCAACAACTGTGAACAGCTTCACTAGAGCAATGAGGAATATTCATCAATTAGATGTAGATGCATTTCAATGGTTATCTGACAAGCATCCAAGTGAATGGTCAAGGTCTCATTTTACTACTTCTGCACAATGTGATGTTTTGGTTAACAATATATGTGAGTGCTTTAATGCAATGATTTTGAATGCAAGGAAGCTGCCACTTATACCATGCCTTGAGGCTTTGAGAAATCACTTAATGCCTAGGTTCTTCAACAATAGAAAGAAAGCTGCTAATGAATGGAAGTCTACAATATGTCCTAGAATTATGGAGAAAATTGCAGTTAATGAAGAGGCAGCTGCAAGTTATTTATGTACTCAATGTGATGAGGATTTGTTTGAAGTTAGAGGGATGTGGGAGGATGGTCAACAAGTTGATTTGAGAAAAAGGTCATGTAGTTGCAGAAGATGGGAACTAACAGGAATTCCTTGCAAGCATGCAATTAGGGCAATTTGGTTGAAGAAATTACAAGTCATCAACTTTGTTAGCCCAATGTATTCTACAGAATGTTATTTGAAAGCTTATGCAGGTTCTATTAACCCTATGGCTGGGCCAGATGAGTGGCCAATTACAGATAGAGAACCACTACTACCCCCATTGTACACATCATGTAAGGCAGGTAGACCAAGAAAGTTAAGGAAAAAAAGTGCAGGAGAAGTAAGCAAAACACCAAGAAATTTGACAACAGTGCAAAGGAGTAAAATAAAACTGCATTGTACCAAATGTAAGCAGCCAGGCCATAATGCAAGGAGGTGTCCAACAGATCCTGCCATCAAAGAAAGATTGGTAAGTTCTCAATAAATTCCTAACTGTATTTAATTCTTTATTGTTTATTACTGTTGGTAAAATCAAACTGCATTCTTTATTGTTTATTACTGTTTGTAGCTCAATCCAAAGAAGAGGATTAGAACAAAGAAAATTCCTCAACCAGTGAGAGAAGCAACCAATGAACTAGTGGTAGAAGCAGTTAGAGAAGAAGTGAATGAACCAGTGAGAGCAGTTGTGTTTGAACCAGTGGTAGAAGCTGCCAATGAGCCAGTGATAGAAGCCAGCCAATGAACCAGTGATAGAAGCAGAAGTGATTGCAGTTATGGAAATCAGGATGAACCATTAGAAATTGATTACGTAGTTAAGTAGTTGTATTTTGTATAAGAGACCCTTATATTGTTTTGATAAACAATGAGATTAGTCATCTCAATGCTATAACAGTAATGAATATTTGTGTTTTGCATATCAGGTTCTAGTAATGAATTTCTCCACAGACTGAATTTACTACACTTTATTGTGTTTGAATTTACTGTTGTTTGTTCCAATCTTTGAATGTACTGCTGCAATCTCTCTACTTTAGCTTGTTCCATATAAGGTTGTTCTGTTCTATGGATTACACAGGCTGTTTTGCAGTAAATTTACTGTGTAATTTACTACTGAATTTACAGGGTTATTTTATTCTGTAATTGTACCATAGTGGTTTGCAGTAACGATCTGTGTGTGTTTTTTTGTTTCACATTAGAACTACAAATGCAAATCACATTATATAAATTGTAAACAGTCTGCAAATGACTTAAAGTTCACATATATATTAATATGCCTGCTGCAAATTAACTTACATTAATTCAATCTAAGTTGAGTAAAACTAGTCTCTTTTTCTCCAAAACTCCCCACCCCTATTACAAGTTGAATATATATCATAGCACACAACACTAATACCACTACCAACACAAATTTCACATTACACTAGGAGTCATTGACAGCTTCTTGAATCCTTGCATTTAGCCTCTTAATTTCTTCCTCCTTTCTATTGATATTCTTTAATAGACCCGGTATTATTTTCTTCGACCTCGAGCATATAGGAGGATCATACCAGTCCATGAAATACATCAGTTGGCCTTTTATTTGGAGCTAGCTTTTTCTTGTCAGCCCTCTTTTCTTTCTTGGAATCTGCTCACTTTTTGTTCTTCACAGGATCTGGCTTACCACTTCTGTCATTAAAGGGGTCCTCAAGTGTAGGTAGGCTGAAACACATGCCCTGTTGATTTAGAATAGACTAAATTTCCAAGTCAAGAGAAGTAATCATGAACAACAGAGGTAGGGATAAATTCCATCATGTACCACATCCATCATTTATGCAAAAATTTGTTAACAAGCAATGAGAATAACACAAAAGAAAATGCTGAAATATATTGCAAAATCTTATTAGTTTTTAACCAGCAAGTACAAAATATGATATTGAAATACATTTCTCACAACTTAAATCGATAATCAAAAATATATTTCTTATTCCAAGGAACAGGAATAAAAACAATGCATAAAACCTAGTCATTCTTCAAGCTAAAGAAAACATTTTAAGAAGAATCCACCATATCAACCAGAAAGCAATTTGCAAAGTTATACCCTCATAGATTCTAACTCACCTCAACTAAAAACTTTAATCCCAAGTTAGATGTAATCTGCTGTGAGATTCAATTTCCATTTTCCACATCCAACTCTCATTAGCACAAGCTCATATTTAAACCCCGGCACTAGCACGTTCACAATGAATTCATTGAACACTGATTTATGCTTTAACAGTACATACATATTCATATATAAGCTCACACAAGCCAAAATTCTTACCATATTTCGGAGTGCATTCGCCCCTTTTCCGTCGTCTTGAATCCATTGCAATGTAGGGAAGAAATTTGCTTTGCTTCCTTAGGGTTTTCTTTGGGCGAATTTACCTGGCGAAATTGATAAACCCATGAACACAGAAAGGCGAAATTGATAAACAGAGATTGAAGAATTTGATAAACAAAGATTGACGAATTTACTTGGCGAATTTCTGGGGAATTATTGCTTGAGCAGACATAGTCGCAAGGTTGGAAATTCTTAATCAAAATATTTTTTACCCTGTTGTTGGCGCGGTGAAATAAGAAGGCCTAGAAGACCAAAATTAAAATTACATATTTAACCTTGTACTTAACACCCATTTGACGGATTAGATAACGGAGGACAATTTTGAGTAATAACACAAAAGTCTGGGACGATATTAGGTCACCAAAGTCGTTTAGGACGAAATTGAGAAAAACCACTATAGTCGAGGACAATTTTGAGTATTAACTCAAAAGAAAATAGTATTACTATGGAATGAAGCTGGGGCAAAGTATGAAAAATACTATAGTTAAACAGAAATGTTGAGAGTGGAATTTGAACCCACACCCTTTCAAACCAGAACCTTAATCTAGCGCCTTAGACCAACTCGGCCATCTCAACTTTATGTTTTTGCAGGTAGAAATACTTATACATAGTCTAATGTAATCGCGTAATCACACCTATTTCTTTTATGAATAATTTATTGACGTTGTAATAATTTTTATTTTTTATTTTTTTATGAATGAGTAATATTTTACAGAAAAGAAAAGAAGAGGTAATAATATTTAGTTAAAAATTAATTCTTTTCGAGAAAACATAATACTTTCAACAAAACATGTAATACTTTTCAATAAATTAATAATAATACTTTTCAATGTAAATATAGTACTTTCCACTCAAATCTATTATTTTTAAAGAACATAAAATAATTTTCAAAGAAAAATTAATATTTTTAATAAAAATGTAATATGGAGTACTTTTTATTGAACATATAATATTTTTAAAGGAAAATGTAATAATTTTTCATTAAAATGTATTATTCTTGTGTAAAAATATAATACTTTTCAATTGATAATTGTTAAGAAAAAATCAATATTTTTGGAACAAGTGTAATACTTCTCAACAAACATAACTCTTCAAAGAAAATTTGATACTTTTGAATGAAAATTGAAAGTATAATACTTTTAATGAAAATTAAATTTTATTCAAAAAAATATCAAAACTTTCAATAAACATGTAATATTATTCAATAAAAACTAATTTTTTAATGGAAAAGACAATAACTTTTTATGATTATGTAATACTTTTAAAAATATACATATAATTTTCAATGAACATTAATATTTTTTGCGAAGATAAAATATATTCTAGCAAAACTGAAATACTTCAGTGAACATGTACTACAATTTAAGAAAAAATATAATAATTTTGCATACAAATATAGTACTTTCCAATGAAAAGTGATACATTTCACTGAAAATATAATATGTTTAAAGGAAAAAATAATACTTTTGAACGAAAATATATTTTTTTTAAATAAAAAGTTAATACTTTTTTTTAATGAAAATGCAATCAATTTCAATTAAAGAAAATTACTATTGAAAAGTATTATTTTCAATTATAAAATTATTACTTTTCACTGAAAATATAATACTATAAAAAAAATACTTCATTAATCGCATTTTGCATATTTTATTGACTATTCATTACTAAAACTAGCGTTTTCTCATTTACTCATTTCTTTTATAATTTCTTATTGTTAGGAACAAGTGTAAATTAGATTTTGATACACTAAAATAATTATTATAAAATTTAGCCCATTCTTTTTGTTCTTTTATACTTAGAATTTCTTCAATACAAAGAGTGCGAATGGTAATTCAAATGATCACAATTCAAATTGCTATCAAAGCTCTCAAAGAGGAGTCAACTACAAAGAGTTCAAAGTTGAAGAGTTCAAGACAAAGGATAGAAGACCGAAAGGTAGCAATGGGTAAAGAATGGAAATGCCAACCTTGCCCAGTAGCATATGTCGAATAGTAAGGACAACTATTCAAATGAAAGGTCAAGAAAAGTAAGGTTCGAAGAGTTAACTCGTAAGGTAAGAGTTGACCATTCGAAGGAACTGTTTGAGACATTCTCTGAGCAAACAGTTTGAAACCTTAAACTAACCTATAGCTTTATGCAAGATGTTACCAAGGCAAAATGAGTCTTAGGTTCACATTCCAAGGTAGATTTTCCTTAAAAGCCTAGACAAAATGTGTAGAACAAAAATTAATATGTAGTAGGTAAAGACGTGCCAATGGCGGGAAAATCTAACACATAAACTGACCTTTCGATTTATTTCAAACTGCCTTATAAATACCTTCAATCAAGACCTAAGGAGGTGTTTGTAAACTACGTTTTGTAATGTAGGCCAGGTATCAGATGGAGAAAGTGGTCATTAATCTTTACCGCGGAGTGGAAAGAATTTTTCATCTTAAAGAAAACGGAAAATCTCTTGCATGATAGTGTCACGTCTCACGTTCAATGAAATATAATGTTGCGTTATATTTTTCATATAACACATACTTTTTAGTTATAAATGCAAATTATTTAATTTATATTAACTATTTAATATTTAAAAATTATACTAAATATTTATTTATTTTAATTCTCGTGTTATCGCGCAATGCACACATTAAAACTAGTTATATATATTTGTGTTAATAGTTCAGTATATTGAACAGCTGCATGAACTTGTATTATGATTTTTAACGTCGTATTTCTATGGTTATCTAATGTAATTATGATATTCTTAGATTGTGTTCAAATATATAACCCAAAATATTTCTATAAAAAACAACATAGATATATAAATATTTTAGGGGCAGTTTGGTTCGTAAAAAATATTTGAAGAGAAATTAAATTAGAATTTCATGGAAAAAAAAATTACCATGAAGATTGACTTTTTTGAAAGGTGGCCAGTATGGCGTTTATTCAAAGTATTCTGAAATAGAGTCTGGAGGGACATCGTCCGAATACATAACAGTAGAATAAATAAATGCAGAAGCAACTAAACTATGAGCTAAATAGTTCTCCGATCTAGGAATAAAACTAACTGAGCAGTAATTAAAAGAGATAATGCGTGCTCTGCAAGCATCAACGGCATAGCCAACGTAGGTCCGAAGTGAGATAGTTGCGTTTGACAAGTATTGCTGTAGTGTTAAACAATCTGTGAACAAGCGTACAGAACGTTCCCCACGATTCCATAACCAAGACAAGGCTTCTTTGCATGCTATTGCTTCAGCCATAAGTGGGGAGAAGCAATCCGACAAGAGTGCACTGAATGCCGAGATATATTCCCCCTCCTCGCTTATCAAGATTGCGCCAACCGTGGCTTTTCCAGTGGTGGGCGAAAAACCAGCGTCGAAATAACACTTCCGCATTGGCGTAGAAGGTTCCGGCTGTGCAGTCTCGTTCTCGGCTGCCACCACGGCTTCGGCAGTGTCCCCTTAGCTTGCTGCTGCTGCTGTGTCATGGCAGTGGCAGTATTGGGCTGCTGTGCGGCAGCCTGGTGGTTCGCTTGGCGGTGACTCGGATGGGTATGTTGCCACGCAAGTGTCGTGGCTTTGGCCGAGGTTAGTACCTTCTGTGGTCGCGGTAAACATGCATCCCATACCGTTCCGTTTCTGCCCTCCAAATGTAGTATAAGATTGCAATTGCGTGAATAATCTGATTAGTGTCTAAAATATTCAATAGATCACTAAACCAAGTATGAAAAATATTTGTTGTTATCATGGGGATTGGAAGGTGAGATTGAGCCCAAATGGAATTTGCATAACCACATGTTACTAAGGCATGCATTGTGTCTTCATCCATCACCCCACACATAGCACATGTTACTAACCATGAAGATTGACTTAATTATTTGGTTGGTTGAAAAGAAATTAGTGCTATATTTATTCTATTGTTTGGAATGGTAGGAAATAATAAGTATAAAGACTAATATGTCCCTATATAATTGTAATAATAAATAAAGTAATAGTAATTTTTAAATTAAAATATTATAATTTATCAATTACAATATCATAAATTAAAAAATTATAGTTATATATTTTATTGAAATAATATAATAAAAATTATTATACATATTTGGTCTAAGGATAATTAAGAAAATTTTATGAGAGTAAAATTGTCCTAATTGTTCCCAATGTCTATAGAAAACAAAATATTAATAATGAGCAAAAGAAATTTTTTCCTCATATTTAAGAAAACATTTTTTCTATAGAATATATTTTCCATGAACTAAATGATAAAAACTCAATTTTACTGATTTTTTTTAATTATCCTTTCAAAAAAAAGTTTTCCATCCAACTAAACATCTAAAAAACTCCTTTAACCTTTATCCAAATGGCCATTTTGAGCGATTAGAGCCACTCCCGTAAACCATCAATTACAATTGTATGGATCATGGTCCATACAACTATATAGACCATAAACAAAAATATATTATTTGTGTACTTAAATTACATTATTAGAAAGTACATTATTTAAATACTGAAAGTATATTATTTTGTATACTATCAAATAATATATGTTTAATATACAAATAATATACTTTTAATATATTAAAAATATACATTGTATTAAAGCAAGTACATTATTTAATATTATGTACATTTAATATACAAATAATATATTTTTATGTATATATTAAAAATGTATATTTTTATGATCTACACCACACTTTGTGGACCATGATCTTCACAATAGCAGCCTCAATCGTGCCAACTCAAAAAGCTTTTGAAGGCTTATAGCTCAAACTTTAAACTAAAACGCGCAATTGAGAAGAAAAAGGGAAACAATAGAATAAAGAAAAGGAAGCAATAATGGAAAAAGAAAGATAACTTAATTAAGAAAGAGACGTAGAGGCAACGCGAAAATAAAGAGATTATACTGTTATAGAGGTTTTGAAGCCAAAGATTGCAGCAACTCCTCGTGGAATCGAATCCTGGTAAATACATACTCTCTCATTTACTCTTTGTGATGTGCTCCCAGGAAAAAGAATTTATGATTCCCAAATGGTAAATTTCATGAAAACAAAAAAAAAAATCCGTGTTTCGATGCTTGTTTGGCTTGTTTTTTCATAAACTTTTGATTGTTGGTGGGCTTTGTTTGTTCTTCGATGGTTTTCTAAATTGCAGGTGCAATTGTTGGAAGAAATTTCTAAAATTTACTTATTTATTCTGGATTTATAAACAGGAACAGAAGCTTCAATTATTTTTAATTACCCAGTTGGTTTTCATTGTCTGTTTCTGGAAAAGAAATAAAAAAGAATTCTTAATTTTGGTTGCTCATCTTGATGCCAAGATATGATCTTCTCTATAATTATCATTCTAAATTTTGTTGTTAGATTTCTAGACTTTTCTACAATATTCACCTAAGATGCACTTGGCAGTACTCTGTAGTTGTTATAGAGATTTGAACCCTAAAAGCCTAAGCTTATAGTTGTATTGCACATTTATAAGTCATGAGTCTGATACCAAATTGAAGAGCATGTACTCCATCTCAACTAAAAACCTAAGCTGATAGTTGATTGCACATTTATGTTTATATATATTATATGCTCAACAGGCATTAACTATAATGATAGATGATGTTTTTTCCTGGATTTTGACTGTGAAAGTTGAGTTGAAGAAAGATGGGAAAAGACAAGCAGCACAGTGATGACAGAGGACTCTTTTCTAATCTGGCTGGATATGCAATGGGACATTACCCTCCACACCATGGTGCTTATCCCCCACCAGGATACCCACCTCCTGCTGGCTATCCTCCTCCAGCTGGATACCCTCACGCAGGATATCCCCCGCCTCCAACCTCATATCCTCCGCCAGCATATGCATATCCCCCGCCTAGCGGATATCCCCCGGGAGGTTATCATCCGGCAGGCTATCCAGCTCCTTCAGCTTCTTATCATCATGGTGGTGTGTACTTTCCAGTTTTTCCAACTTACCACTTTTCATTCATGTCTGAATTGTTTTTATTTTATTTCTGTATTTTGCCTGTTTATATAGTTCTGGATTTTCTTATGCATACAAATAGGTAGGAACTTACATGCCTATACACCATAGTAAGATTGCGCAATACTTTATTGAGTAAGAATGTAATAAGTTATGGAGGAAAGTTTCTGCTGTCCAAATTGTCAATCACAAGTTGTATTCCTAGCCTTGATAGCAGTGTTGCAAAAATCGCGCCTAGAGGGCGCCTAGCGATTTTTTCAACATTGCTTGATAGTGAAGGCTGTGAAATGCTTTTACAATGTGAGAGCGAGTTACCACTTTGACCTCAGTAGATGCACTGAAAAACCGTGTTTTTATACTTGGTTGATCATTTTGGATATCTGCAGGGCATGGACCTAATGTCGGGGCAATGGTAGCCGGAGGTGCAGCAGCTGCAGCTGTTGCTTATGGAGCTCACCATCTCGCGCATGGCCATCATGTTGGGTTTGGCCATCACCATGGAAAGTATAAGCACGGCAAGTTCAAGCATGGCAAGTTTGGAAAGCGTTGGAAACATGGTGTATTCGGAAAGCATAAGTTCTTCAAGAGATGGAAGTGATTTGCATTAGATAAGTCAGTGATTGAGATGGCTGGTTAGTGGTTATGCTGTTCAATTGATTGTTAAAAGCACATATGTAACATTGACATATCACCTTTGTATTATGGATTTGTAATAAAATCACTTGCTGGCAATAGAAGCCCATATATTCTTTGGGGTGGGCATGGATTATAATAGGCAAATTATACAATGGACATTCAGATTATGCGTTTATAATTAATATATTTTGTTTTTGTAGTTAACAGATTATGTGCCTGTAAATAAATTGTAAACACATAATATATTAACTACATACACATTGCACATAATATGTTAACTATAAGCACAAAATATGCCGTTAATATTGTTGGTCCTGAGTGGGTAGTGAATAGACTTTTCAAACAAATTAATGTACGTAAAGTCCTATATTAAAAAAATGAAGTGTTAGTGTGAAGAGATCGCTACATGCTATGCGATAGACACACTACATGCAATGCGATAGAAATGTATGTAAGTGATGTCTGAGAGCAGATATTGTGTATGCGGATCAAAATGTATGTGAGAGCAATAAGTAAAAGAGAGAAAGGGATTTTATAGTAGTGGTTCCAAGGTCGTGTAATCGTTCTACTCCACTCTTCTCCTTTCACTATCTTCGATCACTTATGTAACACCCCCAAATTTCTAACACATGATACAGTAAATAATGAGAAGATATAGAGATGATATTCAGTTTTGAAAAACGATTAAGTGCGGAAGCTGAAACAAGTCTAGGGATGTCACGCCACGCTTGGGTCAATACTAAAATCCAAACGCTATGGCAACTAACCAAAAGTTCACAACTAAATCTAACACAGGTCTAGCCTCATCATAGAAACCCAACTCATCGGTTATAACTACAAAATCGTAAGGTTCATTCTAAGGTAAAGGAATAACAATACACCAACAAGACTAAGTAGCGCTCTCTCGATATCTACTCTATACTTGAAAATAAAGTTAAAATATTAGCGAACAATGCTATGTAAATTCCCACTCCACCACGTAAAGCTACTTATATAGTTTCAAAATAGTTGATGATCAAGATAGGTTTTGGAATAAAGATACTACTCACACTTTCTAGCAAACTCTATAGGAAGATTTTCAAAAGACTTGTATGCAACTAGAACGATAGGTTTAGTAAAATGAACTCATTATTAAATCATTTCGAAACAAGACTCGATCCCTTTTTAAAACACTTGACGGCATTACTCACACTAAATCAACTCGAGACTCATATAATAGAAGAATTACATCAACAACTCAAAACATAATATCTTCATAATCCAAACCTTAATCAAATGTATTCATAGGTATAGGTATACATAGGAGGAATGTGTCACACAATATTTTCAACTAACCTTTCCAAAATCTTATCATAATTATACATATATATGTTTCAAGTCTCATTTTTCAATAGTAACATAGATAGCATAATAATATACAAGTGAAGGTAACCATATCAAATCGAAGAGTCATACATGGAACAAGTGTGGAGTACTGAAATCTCAATAATATATCAATTCAATATCTTCAATCAATATCAATATCAACATCAAATCTCAAATCTC